TAATATAAAATTTCTTATTAAAGATCTAGCTACTAATCTTTGCGCTAAACTTGGAAACATAAATAAAAAATATTTATAATAAGTAGAGAAACGCAGAGATGATGTCGCTGCTGATTAATGACATTAGTTTTAAAATTATATATTTTCGTAAATACCAATGTTTATTATTTACAAATAACGTTGAACGATAAATAACTTGTATCGAATCCAGTTATAATGTGATTTATATAAAGAAAATTTATTCTAACAAAAGTAATTTCTAGTTTAATTTCGGTCTAATAACAATCCTCAGAATTTTAATATTCCATTTTATAAGTAACCTTAAATGCTTTTATCGGGGCTCTTACTAATAATATATTATTGTATTAAATAGAATCCTAATTAATTTTAATAATAGCTTTATCAATGCTTATATTTAGAAAAGGATGATTAAAAAACGTTTTAAATTAAAAAATTATTAACAGAAATGTGTGCGTTTAAAGTACCCTATTTAAGCTTTAAGGATTTTTTCAAAAGTATATAGTAAGATACAAGATTAAGTGATTTGAGTGTCAAATTAAGTAAAATACTTAACTATTTCTTTAATTTTATTTACATAGGTACAAAATAATTGAGCTAATTATTAATGATATGGCTATGAAGTTATTTACTTAAATAAACAAAACCCTCTTATAAATCATTAATTACACAGATACAAAATTTAGATGTAAAATATTTAGATTAATTCTTAAACAAGCCCAAAATTTTGAAAAGTTAGATATATTTATAAAAGCAGAGATAGATTGCTTTACGTTCGTTTGTAGCTCAATGCAAATGGTGAGAAACTAGCCAGCTTGTGAAACATATATCTTAGATACAAAGAACTCGATTTTGTTGTAACATAGGGCGTACAAGATGCTGTTTCTTAAGTTAATAAAACATTTATTTCTACCCTTCACGGGCACAGAGATACAGTCTTCGTTGTCAGCAGCAGAAACTATTCAAATTTATCTTTTAACTGGAAATTCGTTTCTCATACTTATTGTTGCCGATCCGTATGGCTTGTTTTCAAGATGATGGTCAACAGGAAAAGGTTATGTTCTCCGTTTTAAAATATTCAAATCTGTCATTCTGGTGCAGCAAGAGATTCGTGAATGGCTTATGTAAGACCCATCATATATAGCAAGAAAAGGCTTTCTTTGTTTTCCATTTAAAATATTCAATTTAAAATCTGCCATTCTAGTGCGGCAAGAGATTCGTAAAGGGCTTAGAAAAGACCCATCACGTAAGAATAACATAACTAAGTGCTGTCGACAGATTGTCGAAACTGGACTCTTGTTTAATGAGTTCTGGTAGATGGCATGTATCTAATAACAAAATTAAAGTGTGCTTGACGTATTTCAGAGAAGCCACTGCTGGTCAATGGATAAAGTAAGTATTGAATTCAGCAATGCCAAAAGTGACTGTGTTGAAAGTATTGTGTAAGCTTTCATATTTTCAACAGCATAACATGCGAATACCCTTACATCAACAAACAGAGTGGAAAAAAGTGCGTTTTCCGAGAAAGTGCGTTTTAAACCAGAGTAAAATAGTTCAGTAGAAAGATTCGTGCGCTCCAGTGAAGCCATGTTCCACAGCTATGGCAATGTTAAACAAACAAAATTTTCATATCATTGGAGCCCAGCAACCGCTTGTAGAGATACTTCCCAACTTTACTGCAAAATTTAAAATTTTTTGCGTGCTAAACTGCGAAAACGTCTACGGTCACGTTTTCTTCTTTGAGGCAACTCTAAATGTGTCTGGATATTTTGCAAGACTGTTTGTAAGATTGGTTGTTAGCTCATTAAAGCATTAGTTAAGGTGATTAACGGCAGCAGATTCCCTTCCTTCTATATTTATATAGCGTACGACTGCCTTTTCATCGTTTTCCTTTGTAAGGCTGGATTAGCGTTTTGAAGATGGATACAAACTTCTCCCTAAGCCGTGAGACTTGTTTCATTAACGTATCTTTAAAAACAGAGTTTCTGTACCACGTTTAAACATGCTAATTAAAAGGCATTTACATGCATAAGAAATCACTTATAATACACATACTACACCGAGTATGAGATGACTTGCAACAGTCTCGGCGTCAAACAACAGATATAATACGTTAGACAACATACATACTGTAGAGTATCATTCATTTTACTAATAACTATTATACAGAGGCTGTTTGCACATTTTTAGACGATTTTGGTAAGCGGTAATAAAAACTTCTTTGCCCCAAAAGATTTGGTGTATTTTGGTGTATTTAATTATGGCAAAGCACACTAGGGCTATCTGCCTAAGGGCAGGGATGCCTTTCGTGGAGGACTTTCTAAGGGAAACTGGCTCGTATACACGTTACACATGGGGAAAACCACGAAAACGCCCATGCAGCCAGCCCGTTCGCGGGATTCGAACCTCGGACCGAACTACCAGTGTTCAGCGTCTTTACCGCTCGGCCGCTGGTGGGCCTTTGCCCCAAAAGAAGTCATTGCAATTGTACTATGTTTTTAAAAGTCAAAATTATCGTCTGTGGCTTGAAAGTTTTGTTTTTATTCAAAATGGTGAATTTAACAAAGCAGTGGTTCGAAGGCTACATTTACGCTCTTTCCGAAGAGAAATATGCACACTCCGTTATCCAAAAACGATGTGAGAGTCATGGCTTTGTGATATCTAAAGCGTCGATAGGCAATATCATCAACAAGAAAGGAAGAAGACGTCAAATTGGAGCCTCAAGTGGGACAAAAATTCCAAACAAATATCCAAGGAAAAAACGGACATCTTCGACTATTGCAAAGGTACGTTGTTTAATGTTAAAAGAAAATCCTCCTATTCAAAAGACAATTGCAAAATCATTAAAATGCTCGGTGTCTACTGTAAACAAAATGATAAACGTTGATTTAAATCTTAAGAAAGCGAAAAAACGCAATGTACATCGTCTTCTTCCAAAGCATATCACTCAACGCAGGACACGCTGCAGAATTCTACACTAGAAACACTTATCCAAAGAAAAATGGAAAACAATTGTCACAATAGATGAAGCATGGGTGTTTTTAAATGATTGTAACAAAAATAGAGCCATTTATTATCATAAAAGGGGAGACAAAAATTGAGGTACATGGTTCAAAGAATCGAAAGAAAGCTTTTCTAAGGGATTCATGATTGTTGCTGGTTTTTCTTATAATAGCAAGTTTAAAATAAAGAGAGTGCAAGAATAACTTCAAATATTATCAGCAACATATTTTATCGCCAATGTTTCTGAATGAAATACCATCGCTTTACCCACAGTGCCATCAAATCTGTGAGACTCCATCAGGACAAAGCTAGCAGTCACACATCAAAATCCACTGTAAATTTCCTAAAAGAAATGGAACAAAAAACTAGAATCAAGGCCATACGCTTCACTGATATCCTTACTAAATCTCCCGATGTGTCACCTATGGATTTTCGTGCTTTCGGACTTTTAAAAACTGCATTATCCAAATTTTGTCCCAAAACCCTAACAGGACTCTGGAAAGCTTTTCGGGAGGAATGGGGATAGAATACCGCTTCTGCCACTTCAAAAGGCATTATTATCCTGGAAATTGCGGTGTCGAAAGATAGTTCAGAATAAGGGATGTCAAATAGAATATTTAAAACACAAGAATTTTATGTAATTTGTTTTGTGAATACAATATACATCGTCTGAAAAACGTGTGAACAGCCTCTGTAATTTGTTAGCCTTTTCTGTCTTCTCTTATTCCTCAAGCGAAAAGTTTAATCAGAGCGAGGTTTCTCTACTGTGAGCGCACGTTTTTGTTTCTACTAGCTGTTATCTTGAATATCGGCTTCGCATTCTTTGCCGCCGAATTATTATCCTGTCGGTACAGGTTCTAAGTCAACATGTTAGATTAAACTGAACTGTATAGTCTTTCACTACTCTTACATCTGAATTTAGTGTTATATTATCTTTTAAGTTTCTCACCGCAAGGGGTCGGTGACTGTAAGGTCGTAAGTCCTTGCCGTCTGCAAAATATTGTGTTTAATAAAAAGGTCTTACACCTTTTCCCTGACTGTGCTCATCTTCAAGTCTTTGCGACAAGTCGCAAAATACTTAGATCTAGTTACTTAGATCTAGTAGTACTTAGAAGGCTTAATACTTAGATCTAGTTACATTGCATGATAGCAAAGAAGACTAGAAAATACTACCCCGAATCTGAGATGATTACCGCATGAATATAATTTGGAATATGGGCACAAAATGAAGAACTGTAACACATTAGAAACTTGTATCTTAGTTTACTAGATTCCAGCTGGTACAAATATATGAATACTTTACGGAGAAAGTAAGCATAGAAATTCATTATAAACATTAATACTATATTTATTTGAAAGCGTTACTTCTTCCATCTCGTGTGATATTCTTGCTACTTCTGACAGCCCCATCCGGTGGATTTTCTCAGCATTGACAGTAGCATCCGTGAGGTGATAGGCGAGCTTATTTTTGTAGAAGTATTCACCATTGGGCAAACTACCTACACCTATATCAGCTCGAAGGTGAGGACGGTATTCCTGCAAAAAAAATATAAGAATATAGAGTATAAGAATATAAGAATCTTTGTAATATTTCTATGCTGTGGTGATAATTCAGTAACAACTTAAACAGAGTCTGTTACATTTGCAGTTAAATAAATACTTTTCTCAACAGTTTGTAAAAGTATCTGGAATGTTTTGATAGATGATAAAAAAAAATTTATAATCAAATGAATATAGAAATAAAGGTATCCTTTTCTACTTAAAACAATATTTTGAAATGCAATAAATCTTCAATAAATGTCAAAAAGTAAATTTCCTGAATAACTTAATATACACTTTATTCTCATAATAACAGTATTCAGTATTAAAACCGTAATTTGCGAAAGTTAGCATTACAATTGATTCCTGTCATAAATAAAAAATTTAATTAAGAAACTATTTAAAATAACAGCAATCAATGGCATATTTGTACTGTCGATTTCCTTCATAAAATTAGTTTAGGGCTGATGTCTTGCATTAGTATTTAATAGCAAACCTTTTTCTTTTCCAAAGTGATATTTAGGTAAATGGATTACTCTAAATCAAAATAAAAGTATGTCTAATATCAATATCTAATGTAAAATTAAAAATAAGGACAAAGTAACCGAAAGCACATGAAAATGAGGGAAAGATTGCTAATTAAATTTAATATAACTGTTAAAGAGACTTTCTCTTTTAAGAATGCTAACTTAATTTTCTTAATTCTGATATATTTTTTACATGCTTACATTTTCCATGAAGTCTGCCAGCTTTTGGAAAGCAGGAACTAGAGAATTCATGATTGCATCGCTAGCATTTTCTTGTATTGCTTCTCTAAAATAAAAGATAATTAATCACCATTTGTATTTACAGTTTCATTAATACTGAACAAGCCAAAATACGTTTCTTCATCCTTTATTTAAATCTCAGTTTTTACTTAGATAGTTTTGGCAGACGATATCTTTTTATAGCTGGGTTGTTATGTATGTATAACAGCTTTGATTTTTTTTTATTCTACTGAATACGTTACTTGCTTTAGATAGCACAGGTAGTTGTAATAAATTTCTTGCAACAAAATTAAAAGTGAAATTTCTAAAGTACTTTTATTTTTATTTAAGTCTTCATCTTTTCAAATATCGAGCTCAAACTAAAGTATAGGAGCTTTCATATGAGTTATGTTTTATTAAATTATATTATAGATATTTTATTTTTAAGCAAACTTGTAACTATAAAAAGTCTCATTGGTCATGACTAATGATCTGAGCTAAATCACAAGATCTTTAGTTATCTAATTCTCTAACTTAATTGATCTGGAGCACTAATACGGCAGGGCACCAAAGACCACTTTTCATCAGAAGCTCCCACTTTCCTTGCTTTGATAAAGAATAACAATTTTATAAGTAACTACAAGATGATTTGCCGCCCTAAAACATTTGGGGCCTTAAATCCAGGCCTTGTATGTCTAGGTGATTAGTAGACTCCTATTAAAGTCAGTCTCAAAAAAAGATATGGTTTTTTATTTTAGAGAAAGTAAAGTAATCTTAAATTATGTTTAATATTTCCTTAACCCTTTAACTGTCAAGTTATTTTGATGATTTGGGTACACAAATTGTCACATTTTTTTATTGCAAAAATCAAATGCTTAGTACAAAATAAAATATACTTACTTAGTTAAAATATACTTAGTTAAAAATTGATATTTTGAAGTTACATGAGTAAAATTTTTAAAGTTTTGTAGCCACTGCATATTTGCTTGATGCGGCTGCCACTTAACATGGCAGTTGTAAAGTTCTAGTGGACTTCAAGTGAAGCATTATTTTCTAAAAATGGGGGAAAAAAAATCTAAAAAATAAATAAATGAACAAAAAAATAAATAAAAGTGAATACCTTATTAGTAGTTCAGTAATTCACTCTTGTCTGGTACAACTGGAAACACTTTTCCAAGCATAAACCAACTCCACACATCACTACACCACACCAAATCGTGTTTCCTTCCTTATCTTTTTTCCATTTTTATCCTTTTTTTTTGAACAACACACTTTGCACTGTCTTGAAGGCTCACGTTTCGCAGGAGTAGGAGGATATGGGATATAAAATTCGTTCAGTAAGACGGACAGGGTTATCTATTTAGGTGGCCTGCCAACATTCTTTTGTCCAGAAGCTGCATCATTATATTTAGTAAAAGCTCTTCTACAACTTGCATTCGAAATTCTAAAAATGTATACGTTTCTCAACTACATTTTTATAGAGCAAATATGAGTTCCAGAGTAACCTTGTCTAATAAATGTAAAAATATCTTTTTATAATACTTTTTTTCTGACATTTTCGGATTGTTGGATGAAAGGATATTTCCTAATCACAGCGATCTACACCACCCGTAGTTAGACTGTAGTCAGAAACAATCTTAGGCTTGAGTATATCTCCATTTTTATATTTTAGAAGCTGACCATGGAAGTATCATGAATACTGCTCATCAAACACTCATCCTTCATCTTCGATTGAAGAATATAAATCATCTACATAACTTTTCAAAGAACTGGATGCCATTTTACAACAAAAAGATCCCGTGCACTTTGAACCAAAGAACGTATAACCTCTAACCTTTGAAACCTTCAGTAAAGTGCTGTCATCTATTGAATTGAGCACACATTAACTTTTCCCGAGATGTAGTCGGGTTTGACAGAGAGATGAAGCCGAAATAAAGGTCTCTCGATATATATTCGGGTATAACAATACGAGGCACTCAAAAGAAATTACCCCGAGTTATACTCGGGCGTGACATTTTCGAACATCAGTGCTATGCCCGAGATTATCTCGGGCATGACAGTTAAATGGTTAATTCTGAATAAAATAAATTAAGCCTAGAAAGCAACTAAGTCGAATCATTATAGTTATCTTCAAGAACTGAATTTGCAATGATATTATAAACATCTTAAATGAGAACATTTTATAGTATCTGGAATTGATCGCTAACGCTGCGGTGAAATCAATAAACCTTTCGACCAAAATCAAGCAATTAAAGAACGCCACTTACATCTCTTTATTAGTTTGATCAATAGCAACGCTTTCAAAGCACTCATAAAAATTTTTATGGGCCATTTTATGACAAGAGGTAGTTTTATTAACAAATAAACAGAAAGAATTCGCTGCAAAATGCGTCAGTAATTAATTTTAGCGGACTACTGTTCTCTGGCTTACAGTTAAATGTATCTTACAATATTAGTGTTCTACTGCTAAATATATATAAAGTCATTGTCTGAAATGTTAAAAATTATTTCAGTAAGTGGCAAACAATCAATCATTCTGAAATCGAGGACATAATACATAGTGTTAGAACCGATGTTTGTTTCTTACATTAAAGGCAAAATTCTTTATAAAAATTATCTACTTACATGTATTATTATTCTGCCAAATAGATACAATATTAAAAGTAATAATATATTAATTATTAAGAATTATACATATACCGTTTTTAAATCTCACAATATGTTACACTAATAGTAATGGACTTAAGATTGAAAGTAAATTAAAGATGTATTTTAAAAATGGTAACAGGTCTTATAACTGACCTTTTCTCAGACCTTGTAACAGATCAACATTGTGATAGTATAAACTAATAAAATACAATATGATGAAAAATGTAATAAGACTATTCTATAAATTTTTCTGATTTCAAAACTCCATTGCGTGCATGAAGCATGGACATACTTGTGTTTGCAGTAGCTGCCATCGTTTGTGTCAAAAGTTCATCCTAAAAATTATTTTTCAGAGACGATGTGACCAAACTAATGAATATATGATTATATTAAAATTAATTACAGTTACTTGAGTAAACAAAAAAATTGCTAACTTTTTTTTTTCTTAATAATACAATCTCTCTCGTATTTGAACTTTTTTATTTTCCCACGATCAGATTTGGGATTGGTATGATCGTCTGACTATTTAATGATTCTAAACATCTTTGAAACGGACTGCGGATTAGGAACGTTTTCTTGTTATCTTATCGAGGCAGAATGAAAAATAGTTGCTAACGTACATACAGGAAAATTTTGAACAACCAGAACATTATTAATCGGCAGATTTAACTTTTATTTCCCTGTGATTTTTGCGAAGCAAGAATTATTCTGTATTTTAACAGCGTTACTTTGTAGAGATCCACTCACATATTTAACTAAACTGGTTTCTATTAAGACTGCCAGGCGATTTGTCGCCTCATCTATGAAAGCAACTACAAATTCAGACGAAGGTTTAAAGTAATGTTTTTATTTAACACTTTGGATTTAATTCACTATTTGTGCTTACAGAATAACCTCTTAAGCTTTTGGAATTCAACTAATATAAAATGTAAGTTAAAACTGAAAATCCTGAGATTCGCAAATGCAAAATCCTGTTAAGAGTTTGCTAAATCTAATCTAATTTACGTGTAGCAATTTGGCTAACAAAACGCTAACGTCAGTCCAAATCAATTTTCAAAGCTGAGCAAGAAAATAACGCAGCGGTCAGAGTCACTGCCAAAGCACTTTCCCTAATTAGTTTATATCAAAGAATCAGAATATGTAATCTTCAAGCAATAAAAGATCAAGTATATGTATGAATATAGGTGGGGCGATACAGTTACAAGTCCCGCCGCATTATTGTTAAGCATAATTGTTAAGTTAAGTAGAGTCATTAGTATTTTTGAAGCTGAAGATCGTGAAAATTGTGCAATGTCCTCGGCGGGTCTCGAACCTGGATCTCTCGAACACGCGTTGAGTATGCTACCGTTACACCACGAAGGCATGACGAAAGGAGGAAGAAAATATCTTATAATCGCCAACCCAATTTTGAGTAAAAACAACCCCAGGGGGTCTAAGAGGGTCCGACATCTCTTCGCCTACCATCAATCGCTCGAGAGGATTTTTGGCCTGCCGTTTACTTTGAGTACCCCCTTTACGCATAGACGCTATGCACTTAAAAACTTCCATATCGTCTCCGGAATTTGAACCCGAGCCCAACAATGTAGCAGCCAGGAGCACAAATCTCTATACCGATCAAGGTGGCAAACATCAAGTACAGTAGAACCACCATTAACAGGTAGTCTATTCTGAAGGACAGTACCTGAATCTTTGATTCTTTGGCAGAGTTTGCAAATTTATTTTGCTCTTGGATAGACAATACTTCCAGTGACAGACAGAAAAAGCAACCTAAATTTTTCTTAGGAATCGTTCATTAACTAAAAGATAAAATAGAAAGCATGAATAAAAGAGAATGTCTGAGAAAATAAACAGTCATAATACGATTTTAACACACACAAAAAAAAAGAGTAAATGCGATTTGCAAGCAAAAGATCGGCATTTCAATCTGTGTTTTAGTGCAATTAAGAGATGTCACGATTTTTTTCTGTAATGCGCGCATGCTATGAAATGTGAATTATTTGCATATTTCAGTATATTCTACCTTTTATGCAAATTCCAGTCTTACCATAAGCTTCCTTTATGCATTTGTTTGTTATCTTTATTGTTCATCAATTTTAATTTCTAGAAATTTCTATTATATGAACAACTCTTAGTTAAGAAATGAAACTGAAAAGCAGCGACAGATTATATTATATTACCTTTTCTACGATAAAGTTTGCACTGAACTTTTTAAGCGTACAGAATTTCTCTCATAACATCTCTTCAGCTTACATATACTTACATTTCATCTCTTCAGCTTATATATACTTACATTTCATCTTCAGGAACGAAACTGGAAATATTAGCGAAATGCTTGTAAAATGGAGAATCGTGTGCACTCAGTTTCCATTTAGCAGCATCGGAAAACTGGAATGAAATCAAAATTTCTAAGCATTCTAGTTATAATAGAATGAAGCATTCGCCAAAACACGTGCACTTTTAACACATGCTGCATATTTTAACACAAGCGGGATTCGAATTTCATGACAGGTGTCTATTAATTTTCTATTATTTGTCGGAAAAGTCAAAACAATTGCTTTAATTAAGCAAAATAATAATAAAAAACACGAAATAGAAAAAAAAAAAAAAATCTGAAAAACTTTCAGATTATATGTCAGCCCCAAATGGGCGTTTTTTTTTTAACATTTTGTGTATTATCTTTATTTATTAAATATCATATTCTTTGCACTTAAACTATAAAATTTAATTCAACAGCAAAATCCCAAAATATTTAAAAGAGCATATCTTTAGAATTTGCGATACACAGTCTCTCGCGCTGGAGATTTAAATGTCTTTTTTTTTTTTTTCGTACAGTGAGTGTTGCCATTGTTCGTTTTGAAATCGATGAGTTTGTTAATCAAAAATTATAAAATATGAAATAGATAATAAAACGAATTCTAAATTTCAAATTTCGGCTTTCATATGCCCATATTCGAGTGGAGAAATACATTATTCAAACTTTGATTCTAGATAACGTTGTTTTTCACAATGCGAAAACATACATACATACATGCATCATTATTTAATTTCTTTAATTATAATGCAGGGCTCTAATATTTGGTGGCAACAATTTGTAAAATAAAACGCCGTGTTTTAGTGGACGACGCGAAATGCCAAAAAGAAATTAATAGCACTTCTGGGCAAATTGCCCCTTTGGACTAATAAATAAATAAATAAATAAATAAAAATTCTTAGTAAGCAAGTGTATCAATATGTCAGTTTCTCCAGTTTGAAACAGGCCCACCAGCGGCCGAGCAGTAAAGTCGCTGAACACTGGTAGTTCGGTCCGAGGTTCGAATCCCGCGAACGGGCTGGCTGCATGGGTGTTTTCGTGGTTTTCCCCATTGTGTAACGTGTATACGAGCCAGTTTCCCTTAGAAAGTCCTCCACGAAGGCATCCCTCCCTTTAGGCAGATAGCCCTAGTGTGCTTTGCCATAAATAAATACACCAACACCAGTTTCAAACATCAGGGCTCGCAGCCACGACAATTTAATCTACAAAATCTGCATCAGAAACTGATGGACAGGAAGACGGACTTGCTCGAAACGTGTACAAAAGTACGTAGCGAACTGTAATTATTATTATTATTATTTTGCTTCTGTGAACAGAGCACGTTTCTTTCAGAGCAGAGAACGTAAAACCTCAACAGTACCCTAGCCTTGAATCTACCTGTTAGTTGGATCTTCCTGTTGCTAGCAAGCACATGAAAATGCGACAGTTCCTTATAATTGAAAGCGGGAAAGCAATAGACATTTATCAGGTAATGAAGAAACAAGTACAGGTTAAGTGGACAAGAAACCAGAATTTCACTGTTGGTTCGTACGGGTATAGTTCCATTACACTAGCTGTGCTGCTGCACTCCAATTTTTACGGAGAGCACCCCGGGGATGGTCCCAAGGTTTCCCACTCCTCTTTCCCTATCCGCAAACGACTCGATAGGGCTTTCGGCTCGCCCGTATTTTAAACGCAGCCATATTGGACAGACACTATGCATTTAAAATCATCCATGATTTCTCCGAGATTTGAAACCGGATCCAGTGGTGCAATAGCCAGTGTCGCTAGCCATAACACTGATCAGATTTATTATGAGGAAATAATATTCGGAACGGACTGGTGCCTATAGCATTAGCAGATTCCGGAACGGACTCTCCAAGAAGTGTCGGGTGGGTTGTGGGATTTTTTGATACGTAAACCTAAAAGGTCATGATGCACCATACAAATGGTGCATAGGTTAATATATATTATTAAGATTTTATACATTATTAAGAGGTTAATGTATATTAATTTATAGGTTTGTAGGGTTTATTAGTCCAAAGGGATTTGAATCCCGAAGGACTATTAGTTTCGTTTTGGCATTTTGCGTCGGACGGATAAATGTCGGTTCACTTTTCAAACTGTTGCCATAAAATGTTAGAGTCCTGCATTATATTTGAAGAAATTAAATAATGAAAAATCTGCGTAAATGTATGTATATTTCTCACATTGTCATAAAATAACGGTACATAGACTCATCGAATTTTGAATAACGCAATCCTCCAACGAATATGAGCATGTGGAAGACCAAATTTGAAATTTGTTTTATGATCGATTTCCTATTTTTTTAAAACTTTGATGAATTTTTGATTAACCAAACTCAAGGATTTCAAAGCGAGCAATGGCAAACGTTGTGCAGAAAAAACATTTTTATCTCCAGCGCGTGAGTCTCTGTATCGGAAATTCTAAAGATATGCTCGTTTTAAAACTATTTTGCGATATTGCTGTTGCACTGGATCTTATGGTTTTAAGTGCGAGGAACATGATATTTAATAAAGAAAGGTAACACACAAAATGTTAAAAAACGCCCCTTTGGACGTAATTTAAAATCTGAAACATTTCAGATTTTTTTTTTTTTTTTTTTTAATTATTTTAACTAACATTTATTTTAAGTTATCTTTCCTGTCTAGCCTTTACTTTCCCATAGAATTGCCAATGCTAGAGTATATAAATTGTAGTAGAGCGCGCAGTATATTCAAATTTTAGCAGAAGTAAGTTGAGTTTAAATAGAAGGGAAACGAAATCGTAGGTGTGCTTCTTGAATCGCGAACGTGAATGTCGCTCGGTAGAATTTAAGAACCGCGCGTGTCGGCCTGTGTGCCTATCTCGGCAGTTTGCTGAATCTTTCAATTGCGTAATCAGTAAACTCGCTAAATCTCAGCTGTATTTTTAGAACGCGGTTAGGTTAGTTTAAGACCTCAGAGCCTCGTGGATAGTGATCTCGCTATTTATTCATCCAGTCATTACTTTTCAGTTTTACATTCTGTTTCAGTTAAACCGCCGGGTCGGCGTAGTTTGTGAGCGTCAAGTGGACGCAGCTGTTATTTTAAAAGTTGAATAAAAAAGGGCCTTAAACCCTTCTTACGTTTCTGTGTAAATTCACACTTAGTAGCAGTCACTACCACAGTTGCTGACAACTTGGGGCCTCTTCGATATTACAGGTTAATATATATTATTAAGACATTCTTTCTGTATATCTGCAGAGAAAAATTACACAAACGCTTAAAATTATAATTTGATGATTATTTTTTCATTCACAGATAAACAAATCAAAGAAGCACTAAAGACGAACACAAGCATAGAAAACAAAATCTTAATACAAAAATACATAGCATGCCTGTTAAAGAACTTTAACACCGTATTAAACTAAATTACAAAATACAGCTTTCTTAAATACTTAAATAGGTTTAAATTAAATGGTCAAACATCATACTGCAAACACCAAAACTCTTCAGTGAATTTTGTCTATTAAAATGTAATTCACCTCCATTATAAAAGAAGATACACAGAAGAACATTACAACCAGAGCAAATATTTCATTCTGGACTTTCAAAAGGTAATTATGTAAAACTCGAGATTTTAAGAAAATGTCTAAATCAAGATTTAAGAAGCCGTGAAGACCAATTCCAAAGCGATTTTAAAGAACTTCTTTTGTTTTCTTAGTCTCCAAATACACCACTTTAAGTTTTGGGCTTCTATTATGGAGTTGAACGTCCCGGATAAACTGCCGCTTGCTCAGGATCTAGATGACCACGCTGAGGAATTTTGAAATGGACGGGTTAACTAGGCAATGAATTAATAGACTTTGCTGTGATGCCTGCCAGCTCGCTTTCCCAACAGCCTCTTGAATTTTGATTTAGTATTTCAAGCATTAGTGGATTCTGGATATCCGAGAACGTTTTTAGAGCTTTCTGTGCACTAAACATATCAGTATAAATTAGAACTGATTATATAAAAGAAAGAGCGCACTACAATACAGTTAATTTTGAAGTGAGTATATGTAACTTTCTGCCCTTAAATGAGATTTACAAGTATGAAGGATGTTCTAACGTAACTAGTTGTTTCGACCCGTCTACACAAAGATATGTAACTGCTGTCTACGCTCAAGAAAAGTGCTACTTGTGTATGATCTTGATAATATTTCTTTTGTCAAGACAGCGAAAAACATTGGGAGATCGAACTTGTGATTTCATTGCAGGTGGGATTTTCAAATGCTTTATTTCCTGGGTATTCACGTCAGACTTGCAAAATTGTTCAATTAGTGAGAGATCGCTTGGTGAAAAAGAAGGCAAATTACATCGTCGTGTTTGAAATAACAGGACACGCAAGGCATCAAGCAAAACAGGAGCCACACCTGGATGGAAAGGCTGGGATATATGTTGAAATAATAATGGAGAAACAACCCTTTACAAAGCCTTAATTTAAGGGATAGCAGTCACCCTATAGGCTCTAGATAGGTGATGTCTTGAAGGCTCCAGAATACATCCTGCAGTTGAATCTGATCTACTTTGAATAAAAATGAGGACTGTGACAATCTATAAATAACTAAGCCGTAGTTCAGTGTACGACTATTACAGCGAACAAGAACTTCATAAATTAACAAATTCTCGTTCCTTTTGCATCCCAGGAGGTGTTGTTCTTCAGGACTTTCAAAATATTTAATATTTCATATCATTTCTCAAGTACAGGATATGCTGAACAAAAGTTAGATTTCAGTTAAACATCACCTTTAAACACTTTACACCACGAGGCTCGCTCATTGAAAAATTTATGTAGATTTCAGTATGTACGAGAATCACTAATATCGGCAATATGGTATTTTGTATACGAGTTTAATCTATGAATGTAAATTTACTTCAGTACCTTAGATGAAATAATAAATTTTATTATTAGAAAAACATACACACACTACTGTAATACAGACGCAACTAGCATCGGTGTCTAAGTTGAAGGTGAAGCTCACATTCAAAATGGCGAACTCACTTTTACAAAAGTTCGCGCAAACAGTCTCTTATTTTGCAAGATCATTTTTAAGATCATGATATTGTATAACCACAAAACAGAAACCCTTTTTTAAGACTTGAGATTATTATTATTGAATATTATTATTCTTTTTTTAAACCTATATGCAGTTAAACATTTTAATAAATATTAAAGAATGCTTCTACTTTCAAAACATGAATTAACAATGACTAAAATATAATTTAGAGATTTGAATTCTACATTTTCACGAATCTTCAACGGTCCTCTAAATCTTAGGTAAAAATAAAAAGAAGAAGCTTAATATTAGAAGTTTTAAGTAAACTTAAATTTGAAATATGTGTTTAATAAAAAATAAACTTATAAATACAAATTTTAAAATAATTAACTATTAAAATAACTTAGAATTTTCGATTTAACTCTCATCAAAAAGCGCTTACCACCGAATTTTCATTGAGTGTGTAATTAGTCCTAATTCCTTCTCTCATCAGTTCAATGATTTCATCAATCTAAAAATAGAACAAATTTTAAAAATTTAGTCTTACACAGTTTAACAACGAAAAATAATCATTGATTTTACTGATTATGTGAATAGATATTCTACATGATTACACTCATATTTTTAAAAGTCGTTATTCATAATGAATCACTTACTTGCTTAGGTACAGCTCTGTATCTAGCAATCAAATTCCAGTACTGCTCAGTGGTATTAAGTTTTATATACTTCAGAAGATAACGCAGGGTCATTTCAGGAGTGTCTATTTTTGATATAGGGAATAAGTAGCTGGAAAAGAAGTAGAGATAACATTCATTTCAAAGCATTGTGTTGTATGTACAAAAGAGTATATGTAACTACTTTAAAAAAGTAAAATATAATTTTCTCTTACACACCCTCTTTACCTTTTTAAGGACTATACCTAAAAAATAAAGAGAGAGGGTGAAATAAATTCTTATGCAATTTAAAAGTTCATACAAAACGAAAACTGAAGTTTTGTAGATTTCATTAAAAACCTGATAAAGTAGTCTTAACTCTACAGTCCACTGCAAGATTTTTAACATTTTTCTCTCTTAACGCCTCTAGTACATTTTTAAAATTAGAACTCAAGACCTAATAGTGCCTAATTTTACATTCAGAATAAATCTTAAAATATTTAAATGATGGAAATTAATCTTTCACTGTTAATTCAACTTGAGATAGCTGAAGCGTCTCCACTTTAAGAATCACTTCTCTAGCTAAGAATGTGAACGTACGTATATTAAATATGTCATAAAAAAGAGATGAAACGCATAAAAATGCATTATCACGGAAGCTTTTACACAAATAAGGACGCTTTAATAGGCATTAAATTGAATATAAGTTGAGAGAATATTGAGAATAAGTAACTTAATACTTACTTATATTTCTCAATAATTCTTATTGAGAAATATAAGTAAGTAAATAAATGATTACTTTAAATTTGAGTATACCTATGACAGTTGTATTTACAAGCCGACGTAGAAGAAAAGAGAAAATCCTCATGCGTCATAACAAGTTCAGTAAGCAAACAAGGTAGGCTCTTCCCATCGATGACGTCACTTACTTAAAGAACATGGTTTAATTGTATATCACGTGTACCTCGAACTAGGAGTCATCAATGCCATACAGCAGCAAACCTTAGAGTATATTAGTGGACTACAGCCAAAGCAAACAACTGTACCTAGAGCCATCAGATTTTGAATAACGTAATCTTTCATATGCACTTGGAAGCCCGAATTTTGTATTTCAAATTTGTTTTATTTCTACTTATATGTACTTCACATTTTTAAAACTTGAACGAATTTTTGATTAAGGAACTCAAAGATTCAACACTGTACGGAAAAAAAAAAAAAAAAAAAAAAAAAAAAAACCATTTATATCGCGGTGCGTGAGACTGTCTATCAAAAATTCTGAAGATATGCTGTTTTTAAATATTTTTTGATAAATCTGTTTGATTTAAATTTATATGGTTTAAGAGCAAAGAGCATGATATTTAATAGATAAAGCTAACACACAAAACGTTAAAAAAATCCCTTTGGGTGTTATTTAAAATCTGAAAGCTCTCAGATATTTTTAGCCCAAAGAGCGTTAGCTGAGAAGGGCTATTAATTTCGTTTGGGCATTTTACGTTGATTCGCTTTTCAGACTATTGTCACCAAATATTACGGCCCTGTATTATATTTAAAGAAAATAAATAATAAAGAATCTACGTAAATATACGTATGTTTCTCGCATTGTGATAAAACAACGGTACCTAGAGCAACCAAATTTTGAATAACGTAATCCTCACCGAATGTGAGCATCTGGAAACCCTAATTTGGAATTTAGAATATGTTTTATTATTTATTCGGTATTTTGTAAGACATTAAAGCATTTTTTATCAACAAACTCAACGATTTCAAAGCGAGGAATGGCAACAGCGGACGGGGGGGGGGACATTTTTATCTCCAGCGCGCGAGATTGTGCATCGGAAATTCTAAAGATAGGCTCATTTTAAAATTATTTTGCGATACTGTTGTTGAATTGAATATTATCGTTTAAGTGCGAAGAACAATATATTTAATAAATAAAGGTAATACACAGAACGTTAAAAAAAACGCCCCTATGAACGTAATTTAAAATCTGAAACCTTTCCGATTTTTTTTTTTTTTTATTTCATACTTTGTAAAACTTACAAATTATTGATTAACTAACTCTACGATTTGAAAGCGAGAAGTAGCAACTTTTTTCCAAATAAAGCATTTTTATTTCAAACACGCGAGACTGTAGCCACTTAAAGAGAGTGCGGAAATTAGTGTTTTTAGAGTTTTTAATTGATATCTCGTGCAATTAATGTCGTTCGAAGATGAGAATAGTCGAAATGGCTGCCCACGATCTATTGGAACCCGGAATAATATATTAAATGTTGTCACTGCCATTTTATTTCATAAAGGTTACAAATATTTTATTAACAAGCGATTTAAAAGCGAGCAGTGGCAACACTTTTCGAAATGAAGCAGAATTTGATCTCCAACGTGCAAGATTGTTGCCACTCGGAAAAATGAGAGCAAAAATTTGCGTTTTAAGAATTTTTAATTAATATCTAGGCTGATTAAATCATCGAAATGGCTTTCCACGAACTTTTGGAATCAAGGATAATACATTTAATGCTTGGCAATGCTATTTTTATTTCATAGTTTGTAAAACTTAGGAATTTTTTACTAAGAAACTTTACGATTTGAAAGCGAGCGGTGCCATCACTTCTCGAAATAAAGCAGATTTTTCATCTCCAGCGTGCGAGACTGTTGCCTCTCCGAAAAATGAGAGCAAAAATTAGCTTTCTTCAGAGTTTTTAATTACTATCTCGGTTAATTAAAGTTGCACGAAGATGAGAGTGGTCGAAATGTCTTCCACGAATTTTTTAAATCCGGGAGTACCCTTCTCGAAGTTCATCTCCCCGTCGTTCCCGTCTGTCTGTTTATTTGTTTGCCACAAGCAAACAAACAAACAGACAGACGTACACAGATTTTAATAGTATAGTAATCTATACTATTAATTGAGCTACAATTACATTGAGCTATACATTGAGCTACAACGGCTTGCAAAGAATCAAGCGATAATTCAAATCAAGCGATAATTAAGCGATAATTCAAATGATTCTTAGTTTACTGAAACTGCAGAGACAATAGGTACTTTTCTGAAGCAGGAGGGATGAAAAATTAGCAACGCTTTCGCCAGGAATCGAGCCGTGGACCTCTCACTTACGCGCTGAGCGTGCAGACTACTACACCACGAAGGCTCGCTAAGAAGGCGGGAAAAATAGTTTATAAAACATCCCGATAAATTTACTGACCGATCTTATAAAATGTCAGAGAGTAACGTTGTCAGAGAGGCTGACGTTACTACCATGTTCTGTTCTATAATTTCTTCTATCCAGTTTGCCTCTGCGCCTTGCACGATTAATTAAATAATCAGTTACTCGAATCAAAACATTATTTCAGCCATAATATCTACATTGTTTTATTTGCTTTCCTCGATTATCTGTAAGTGACTTACAAATCTCCCGTACCGTTAAACACCAAAACATTTGAACAGTTGGCCATTATCCGTATCCTTAAATATAAAACTTTATTATGGAATAGAAGATAAATGATAAGAATAAATTAGTAACTAGAAATGTTCATTGATTCTGTGAAGAGAACATGGAAGATTAATAGTAGTAAATGGTAAATTAAAATAAATTAAATTAAAAATAAAATGGTAAAAGTTACTGATGTGCATTTATTTGCCATAATTTTGTTTCGTTGAATTTTCCTTCGCTGTAGGCTGGAAGTATGAAATAGTTGAATTATTCTTTTCTTACGAAAGGTTGCATTACTTTCTTTCCATAAATCCTACAATTTTAAGTTTTCGGGAAACTCCGTTTTTATTTATTAGATCTCAAACGGGCAGAAATTGCATTTCTGCTGTCTCTCTGAATAAGAAAAGTATTGATTAAATGAAAAGAGAAAACTGAATTCTTGATGGATGCTCATCACACTCACCTTCCTGCCATTAGTTGATCCAACTTATATTGAAGAATCATCACGAAGAGTTTTAAATTCATCCGAGTTTCGCCTCCTTCTGGTGCATGTGGCAACAACTCATTGGCTCTCTGTAAGAACTCAGTTACCATGACCTGCAAGAGGAAACGTGATAGTGAAACAAACGTGAAAAATATTCTAAAAATAGCTCACTCAGCTCGCAGAAGTTATCCATTACTTGATTCATTTCACAACATCTTATTTTAAAATCTTCTTAAACGTATCTGAAAAACTCCACAATTTACCTATAGCATACTATAGCATACTTTAAGAGACAACGTTTCCCATGTACAATCTGTTATTTTAGAATTAGTTCAAGGTCCTTTTTATCCTTCTGGTTTGCATCATAGCCGTTTGTCGAGTACCCAATTTGCTAAAATCTCCTAATTTTCTCTGTGTGTTGATGCTGACACACATTACTATAGTAAATAAGGGAAGATTCATTACCAGCTAGGCAAATGAAGCTAATTATCAATCGATCTCCAGAAGTGATACGAAGTTGAAATGCAAAACAATCGTAATTGTTATACTTATTATGTTAATTTCATGTTTAATGCTACAAGAATGCAAATAATATTTTTAACACGAGTCATACAAAATAACATGTATTGTTGTCTTAAGCCAGTTTGGGAAGAATTAAGAGATAGCAGGTTCGAAGATAGGGAACAACTCTGGAAAGGATTTAGCTGAAGCAATGCTCAAGATATTTTCAAATTGGCCGAAGTTTACGATACTTGTTAGGAAAACTACTGAGTTAACACTAAGGTCGTTAACACCTTAACTGCAGTGATTATACTTCTAATAATACTATTAACATTTAATTCAAAAGCAAATGAAGAATCATATGTATATGATTGTCTAAATTAAGAAATTAAATACATCAATAACCTAAACAAGACATCTATTATACAAAACAAATGACATCGTCTCTCTTGAAATGATGCTGACAAAGATTTCTTTTCTGTATTCCGCCACATCTTGATTTAATCCAACGTAAGCGAGATGTCTTGATTTACAAAATGCAATTTACGATACAACTTAGTTGCAGTATTTGCTGTTTACATGTTATAACACAATATAATACATATTTCTAGATCTTGATAAAATAGCAACAAAATGTCTGCAGAAACGGAAAATGTGAATAACTTTGAAGAAAATTAAAACAACATTAGATGCAATCTTTTTCCCCCAATAGCAGATTGTGAACAATTGCAAATGTAACCCAGTTCATTAATCTATACAAGGCCAGATGTGGTGGTCTCTTTAATATGGAGGCACCTAATAGGTGGGCCACCATCGCCTTTCCTATGAAGCGACGGATAGTCACAACCATGCCTTGTCTGGGATTCTAACCCAGGCCCTTCGGTATCGTAGTCAGCTTCCCTGACCACGATACCGATTGGGCGGCACATTAGATACAATTTTTTAATACGATTTTGCTCTATACAGCAGATCCAGATCTTAACCCGTTATGGCACAGATATTAAATTGTTGAAAATGAAATACCCATTGAATGACGTCAGATTTCTCCTGGTTGTTGAAGAAAGAAAACTGTGAGCTTCATTTCTCGATTTAATATAATTTTTTTGTTTGGAGACAACTTCACATATGGGTGTTTTAATTTCAGTATTTGTTTCGTTCGAGAAGCATTAAGCATTGAATACTACTGAGTACAAGTCAATCATGAATATTATAGTTAATTAAGATGTTATAGTCAATTAAGCTATAACTTAACGAGTTCATATTGGGAAATTCTGCATCGATCGATACTCGATCAATGTTCACGATACTGTCTGTTCTCCCTAGAGCTGAAGCTGTGCCGTTTTACTTATTTAAGGATATCGGTACTTTGGTTTTAGATAGGTAACCTTTCTTTTCACGAAGAAGCATTCACACTTAGATATGACCAAAGAGTCGTTCGTTCTTCACAATTCTCAAGGAGTGCAATTATACTTTGAAGAATAGAGGTCATCCTCATGTGATGTTATTGAGCGATATGATAACTTTTCAGGGTTCCTCACTCTTTTTGTGTAAAGTAAATGTCGAGGAATCTAGTGAGACGTTGGAGACGTTAAAGACGTTGGAGGATAATCCATCCCCCATTTTGCAGTGGCATAGCTGGGAAGGTAAGGGGAACATCGATCCTCGGGGCAAAATCTAGGGAGTGACGAATTAATGTTCCCCATTGCGTTTTGGCAAAGAAGGGGGGTGAATTCTTCATTTGCCCCCGGGTGCTGAAAATCTTAGCTATGCCTCTGTCATTTTATCTTCCTATGGCTGGTCAACTGTTGACTTTGAATCTTCAGCTTTATGCTCTGATATCACACCTTGTTTTTAAGAAATTTTTAGAAATGTAACTACCAGGTGTATTTATTCTGAGTGTTCTAGTCGTGTAACTAGTTTAGGCAACTCCATAACCATTTAGTTTGAAATTTCGCTTACATTTACTTCCACAAAGAACAACTATGCAATGCATCTCCATGTCTTCAACAGAACTTAATTAGAATATGTGGATCATTAAGTATATTTAAGTGATTTGTTTAAGGAAATGAAAGTTAACTGCAAAATCCTTATAAAAAAAGAAAGTTGAGCAAATCAGTTGAACGCTAATTACATATAAAGAAATATTAGCCTATGACTAAGAAGAATTTTTTTTGGTTTGTATAAGGTTATTCTGTTTTATGCGGTCATTATGACTGTATTATAATAAAAAATGTATACCTTATCCTTTTCATACGATTTCAAGCTGTAGCTGCTGAGCTTGTTATCGTATCTGTGATCTCCAAGTACGGTTGCAGTTTCAGGGCTGTTCATCAAATAAATCTGCCAGTACTCTTCAAACATAGTATTTGCAGCTTCCGTGACCAGCTCTGGATCCCTACGATCAGATGAATTGGAAGCAGCTGTTGGTGAAACGATGCTGGATTCATTGCTGACAAGAGAAGTTGAATTTTCTTGAGCCTGAAAGAGGGATTTTACTTTATTACTTTCTTTATTTTAACAACCAAAGAGAAATTAAACTCTATAAGATTCTGGCATACTTACATACAATTACCGCTTTAAATATAAAAACAAAATTAATTCATTCTCAATCATTTCATTAAAGTTAGTTTAATTAAAAGCATTTGACGGGCACTTCGATATGATATATTAATAATATTATAAAATTCGTCGTAGATCACATGTTCTTGGAAAGAAGGCTCTGCGTTCCAATCCCAAACGACATACTACTTCTCATAAGTTTGTGAATTTTAAAATTTATAGTCCTCGCGAAAATTTGAAGCTTTAAAGCAGTCTCATGTATGAATTGGATTATTTAGTTATAGCGAAGGCGCTAGCTGCCTAAAGGTGGAAAATGTCGTCGTGAAACACTTCATAAAGGAAACTGGTCCGTATGTCTACAGTATGGCTCATGAAAAAGTATCTCGTCTCCAGCAATAATAATGACCATCAGGTGAGCCTGATCCTGAGTGAAAAGAAAATGTTGAAGCGTTGCTTCATTTGGCGACACCAGGTCGTCCGACAAAAGGACAGTCAGCCGACAGAGGCTACGAACTCGTCACACCTGTATTGTTGGTGGGTTACTTTTTTATGGACCATCCAGTGTTCACGTAAGCAGAAAATCATGGAATCCTTGTGCAGTCTGACTGTTCAGTGGTCATAACAGAATTCCAGACGAATTAGAGTGTTTCATTACTTCAACGATTCAACCACTAGTGAGCTAACCATTATGCTTATTAACGGCCGATGGATGAGATCGCTGAATTTTGCTTGTCTGATATAGTTCATATCCCTAAGAATTAACTATCTGCAAGGGACGTTTAGAGGTTTCCCCGATGGTTAAAGGAGAATACGAGCCAGTTTCCCTTAAGTCCTCCACGAAGACTATAATGTTTTTCAACTGTTTCAAAATGTCAAATCACCTAAAAATAACCAAAGAAACTGTCAGATGACTTATCATCCTTGCTGTCTTCTAATGAAAGGCATCACAACTCAAAGATTTAAAATAAAATTTATTTATTAACGCATCAGTCTGACGGTTACACAAACTGAAAAGTATAACAGAAGTATACAGAAGATTATATTAAATTAATAATAATTTCTAATACTTATAATAAAGTTTCGCTACAAAGTGAAATGTATAACAGATGCAGAATTCCGTTACTTGCGTAAATCGGAATACAGGTCCAAATTCATTTGAATGCGAAATAGGATCTCAAGAGGTAAGTGGTAGGAAAAGAGTGGCAAAAGACTTTTGGATTCGTCCCTCCCTTGGAATGTTCCCTATTAAAATTGACGCGCAGCTAGGTAACTTTTACCTATAATGTTACCAAAAGTCTTGACCAATGACAGCAGAAATCCTTTCTGTCTTGGCCACAGTGAATTCACATATCTAATCCACGTCGTATTCAGATCAGGAGGATTAGTCTCATCTTATGAAAACTCTAAACAAATATATATATTCAGTATATTCTGCATAGCTGTCTAAATAAATTAGACAGTTATAAATTTATAGAAATTATATAGCTGTACGTAAATATACTTCAAATAAGACCTTTTATTACACTGGAAACATAGCGTGATGTCCAGCTTGGAGTTTTATGAGTGTAATAAAATAGAACCTGATGAGACATTAAATTAAGAATAATATTTTACAGTGTTAAGTTTCACGGTAGGAGGACTGTATTATCATTCTAGGGTTTCATTTGCAATTATTTTATTTATTTCTTCCCAGTTATCAGAATTCTTTAATATCGTTTCTTTTGGGTAGTGAATAAGAATTCATCTTCAGATGGAGATCTCCCGTTGCCATTCCCGGTGTAGAAACAAATATTTTACAGATAACTAAAGCAATTTTCAAAAGTAAAGTGTCAAATTTTTTAATTAAATTCTTAAAATCTAATATTAATACCTTTTGGTTAAAACTGGAGTTTCCTTCAGTGAAGTACTTTTTCAGATTACTGGAAATTAAGGCTCACTCTAGCAAATGGTTCATTATCTAAAGTTAAAGATGAGTAAAGTTTAGAAATACGCAATAAATGATTAAATGCAAAATGCAAAGATTTCTAAATACGAATTTAGTTTTTCTTTTTCATCATAAGGACAGTCTGCTAAATGTATTCTGTTCTTTTAAGTAATCCACATTCTTTAATAAACGCAATATGCTCGAGAACATCTTTATGATTACACAAGTTCTTAACACAACAACGAAGCAACGTGGAAATGTATTTTAGCTACAAACTAAATACAAAGATTTGTAATACAAAATCCCACTCTGCTTAGCGTAAATTAAAAAAACCTCAATATGATTTCTATGCCACGGCTTCTTCAGTTCCTCAAAAAATTTTCAACTCTGGTGAATGAAGTTCTCTTCCGGAAGTTCTTTCTAAATTTATTGAACTCCTAAGAACATTTCTCTAACATTTTTACAAATATTCAGTCAGTATCGATAGGCAATCATAATTTTTGAAACACTGAACACTTTCTATGACTTTAAATTTCGGCATTTAAATCTAACCTGCAAATCCACCTTTAAATGTCTTTTTGTAACCTCTAATAAATTTATGAAGAGTAAAGGAGAGATTTTGTTTCGGCAAATCATAATACACATTGCGCCATTCTGTATTATTGTCACTACGTCCCTGAAAAACACCGTCTATGAAGTTCAATTCTAATATTTATATATTAATGCTATAAAACTGGTTGAGTTAGTACGATATAACACAATCAAATTCCAATCGTTGTACCACAATTATGTTTCAATCGACTGCTTCTTTTTTTTAACACTGTGTATTCCATTATTATATTTAATTGTTTCACGGCACACTAAGACTTTGCGCCTAAAAGGAAGGATAGCCACCAGTGACATAGTAGTGCAATTGCAGAATACCGGTAGTTCGACCTGGGTTTTGATTCTAGGCTAACGGGTTGGCACACGGGAGTTTTCTTGGTTGTCCCCGTGTATAAACTGAATACGACCTAGTTTCCTTAAGAAAATCCTCCACGAAAGCATATGTTTCCTTAGGCAGATAGCCCTCACGTACTTTGCCCTAATCAAATAAACCAGACTATACCAAAGAGATGAATGCTTTTTTAAGGACTTTTTAGGGAACTCGGCTCCTTATTCACGTTACACCATGGGAAAAAGCACGAAAGGTTCTATGCATCAAACTGCTTGTCGGAATTTTAATCCAATTTGAAATACTATTTTTTACAATCTTATCCATTTAGCTAATGATGAGCTTTATCTTAAGTATTTAATTTATCTTAAGTATTTCTGTGCTAATAAAGTTTTCCGCTTGACACTTCCGCTTAAGTTCCGATGCATTAAAAACATTCTAAATATTTAATGCAAGTTTAAGTAGGTAGTGCAGTTTCATTTATATTGAAAGAGTACTTCTGGCTGAAATTCGTAAATCTCAGTAATGTGAATATAGAATTTCTTCCAAAAAACGCCCCTTTACTAAAGTTTCGCAGATTTCGAAATTATGCAAACTAAGATTTGCTGATTTTCAACCCATGGTTTTACTAAACTTATTCTGGAATTACAAAGGAGAGTTTAATCATGAATACTTAATTATGAATAATAATAATCATGAATACTTAATTATGAATAATAATAATCATGAATACTTAATTATGAATAATAATAATCATGAATACTTAATTATGAATAATAATAATCATGAATACTTAATTATGAATAATAATAATCATGAATACTTAATTATGAATAATAATAATCATGAATACTTAATAATTAATAGTTAAATTGCATCGAATTTAAGATATATTTTGTAGGAAAGATAAAAGAAGATTCAGTAAAATAAGAGTTCTCTGTTTGTTTTAATTTCGCTGTTGCAGCTGTAAATTAAATTAGAGTGAAATCATTGATGGTAATATGGAACGTGTTTTAAATACATTTACCATTTCGTAGTTCTGAATTTACTGACCTCAGTTTCAGTCTTCAAAATCTGGATAATTTATACTGTAGAAAAAGGGGAAAAAAATAAATAAGCAGTTTCAAATTTGTATTCTGGTGATGTGTCTGATAAAAAATGAGTGAGCAGAGAAAGTCGTTGTTACAATTGTTACGTCACTTTAGCGTGACATGAAATCGAAACTGGCTTAAGGAAACCGGTTGAATTTATTTTGTTTTCGAGAAGTTAAAATCAAGATCTTTCAAGAACTTTTTTTCTTTCATTTCTGTTGAATCGTACCTTTCAAGCCGTCACTAAATTTACTATCCATATCTGTATTTATATTTCTTACGGTCGTTGATGAGCTTTAAGGTTGACGTAAAGTCTCTCGCATTTGTTTATAACTTAAAATGTTTACTATCAAATTGGTATTTTTGTGTTAAATCGGCTTCTTGGGAAAATATCAAGCAAACAATGCATGGAAATACCAAAAACTTTATATAGAAATGTAAAAAACGTAACAAGATTACATTTACATTTATTCCCTCTTACAGTTTCTTACTTATTTCTTCGATTTAGTTCCTGGAATTGCTATCATTGTGGCTTCAGTAAGGTTCTCGTTTGGTCTGGTTTCAAAAAGGTTACACTACTCCGCTTAATATCTGCTAGATGTGATTAAAGTGATTTTGGCTCATACATGTTATTCTTTCACGAAAAGTCATTTTCTTGCAACATAGTATGCAAAAATTACCACAAAATACACGTGTATTTATCAATGAGAAAACATTTTGAGATGCAACGTTAAAAATAGCAGGGAAAAGAAGATTGTATACATATTTGGATCTATGGTACGCAGCTACCATTTTTGAAAGCGTTGCAATGTAATAACTTTTATAAAGCACTTCCGTCCATTAAATTGCCGAGAAACATTTAAAAATATGTGTAAACACTTGTTTATTAGAGTAGTTAACGCTATCTGTACTTAATATTGAAATAGATGTTTTTCAGTCGGCGATTAATCGCGGAGGTGGCGATTTTTTT